CGAAGAAATCTTCACATGAGCAAATCAGATATCAGCGATAATCTTACGAGACCATCCATGATCAAAGAAGATCCGACGGTGGAAAATTAACTTTTGGGGTGTGGGTAAATACACACAAAATTTAAATCACTTCGGGGGGCAAATCAAATGTAATTACGCGACATGATGACTCGTGCAGCACACGCCATCGGGTGAAATGATGTCGTATCAAGGTATAATTATTAATAATTCTATTGGAGGCGTGTTCACACGCTGGGGATTGAGAGTAGAAAAGGGATGTGAGGACGGTCCAAAATAGTCGTCTCAAGAATTCGCCACCAAACTTCACCGTTCACTGCTCTGCTACGTCTCGAATTCAAAATCAAAATCCCCATTTTCACTCTCCTCTCTCCTTCCTCCATATATAAATACACACACACACATAAAACGCATAACCCATAAAGAAACCCTATTACTTTCATACATATATATATATATATAGATATACACAAGGTTTCTAAACGTCCGAGTATTGATCTGTTGAGGCTAATACAACAGCAACATGGAGCAAATCGGGAACAGCGGCAACAACAACCATAGCAGGAATTACGGGGAAGAAGAAGTTAGAATTAAGCAAAAGGGTGTTGCAGTTCACAGCCAGGTGAGGAAGATAAAGCGAGAATCAGAGGAAATCATGGAGTACTGGTCGCCGGGGCAACCCGAGACGAGACGGGTCTTAAGGGATATCACCAGACACGGTCGGTCTCGATCTCCTCTCGGATTGTCGGGTCGACCCATCTCCGTCGGTGAGTTGTAGGAGCTGAATCGGGTCGGGGAATAACGTCCGGTATGCATATATGGAGATCTGCAGAGAATAGTGGAAAAACAGAGATGGTTTTTTTTTTTTTTTTTTTTTTTTTTTTTTTTTGTCTTTTTGGAGTTAAAATGGATTTTGGTGCCCTGTTTTTCTGTTTATGTAGCTTTTTTTTTAAAAAAAATTTTAAATTTACCTATATAAATAATATATGGGTTTATTTTGTAAATACGAATTAATGCAGAATATTATAGTAGAAGATGTGGGAAGAGATCTGGATGTTGAATTGAAGAATGTGTATTTTTCTCCCCCATGATTTTGATTAGCATTTCATATAATATAATACTTTTACTTAATTTGGTTTTGAAAGACTTTGATTTCTTGTTTGCTTAGATTTAATTTCTTAACTTTTCAATTTATGAATCAAAGAACCAATTACGATTTGGCTTCTGTGGGAAGTAAAATTTAATCTTGATATACTGTTTGTTTGGTATAAAAATAGAATTTGGTTTTAACCCCAATCCATTTTGTATCTTCTGTTTCAAATCGCCATTGATGCCCACATAACCATTAACTAGCACCCAAAATTTATATATATATATATATATACACACACCCAGCTAAATCTCCCTCTCTCTCTTTTATATATATATATATATATATTATATTTATATATGGGAATAATGTCGTGTATAAGTATCTTCTCTGGTGGAAAATGATTTGAATAATACTAAATTATGTAACCCGGTTGGTCTGTTTTTGAGAGAAACATCAAAAGGGATTTTATTTATTATTACTGCATATAATAGTATATGAAATATATATTAATCACATATATTCTTCCCCTATATATACACACACACACATATATATAATGAGATTAACTTTAAATTATCCCTAAATTACCCAGAAGTTTTTTTTTTTCCAAATTAAAGATGCATAAGTAGATTTTCTTTTTAATTAATATCATTAAATTTTATTATTAACAAATTAAATCTTAACTGCTAAAGTAATTTAATGAGTTATTAGTTTCCTAAATAAAATAATAATCACATAGAGAGATATTTTTATTAATCATATTTATTTTTACTAAATATAACGTATTAACATATCCCAATTATCATACAAGAAATTTGTAGTACTAAATTATAATTTTTTTTACTTTAATTTTATAATCATAATATATTTTTTTTCTATTTCCCAACTGATTTTTAGGGTTCTAAACATGAATTTATCCATGGAAATTATGAATTAATACGATATAAAAGATGTTAGTCTTGCACATTTATAGACATTTTATGAAAATATTTGAATGAAATATTATATTGTAACTTAACATTTATAGAACATTCTATTATTAATGCATCCATCTATTAAGAACAGAGTAAACTATCAAATATATTTAATACCAATTAGTAGATATGTATGTATATATATATATACATATATATCAAGTCCCTTAATAAGGATATAAAAAGCAAAGGGTGGATAAAAGAGAGAAACCACTTAATAAAATCTAAACTATCCATAATTGATTACTCACTTTCTTCATAAATCTTCTTCATGAGTTGTTCATGCAGGTTAATTGAGATCTGGATATTCCATCATCAGCAATGGTATTATAAATTAGGAAAAATCTTAAATCTAGTTTCCTTATTTGAATTTTCTACTTCCCTATTTATCTTCCCCATCTCCCAGCAAAAGCCTCTTCATATACCTAGGAGCAAGAAGGATTAATTCAAGTGCTTACTCATGGCTGACCCTTCAAACATGGTAAAAGAAACATTTTCTTTCTTTTTTTTCTTCTCTTCTTTTCTCCTAAGTTCTTCCATGGCCTCCATTCACTAAATATATATATATATATATATATATTTGTACAGAGCTGCGTTCTACGCGTGAAAACCCAATCCCCAGATTGGCATACTTCGCTCACAGAAGTCTTAAGAGGAGTTAAAGGTCCCATCACTCTCCTCTCCAGTTCTTATAAATCATGCATGAACCCTAAAAATTATTACCTCACGCACGTTCATCCATGCATAAATACACATCTACTTCCAAGCATTTCTAAACTACTATTTACAGGTATATCCTATACCATCGATGCACAACAAGGGGTAGCCCACGTGTCAGGAAAGATCGAGCCGCAGAAAATCCTGCGTCGGCTCGAGAAAGTCGGCAAACACATAAGATTATGTCAAGTGAATACCGGAACCCATGTCAACGATCTAGACCTAATCTCCATAAACAACCCCAACAATATCAATCAGTATGGAAGAATTGAGATCGATCCTCCATGTTACGGTCGCCGGAGCAATGTATGCTATCACCCTTGTGATAGTCCGTACTGCGGAAGGTTAAGCGTTGACCATGGCTGCGGGAGCAGTGGTGGTTCGTATTTTCAGGGTGTAATGGACGAGTATAATCACAGTCCGATGCAGCTATGTCATCCTCATGCGCATCAATGGAGTTCTCCTGTGTGTGTTGTTAATGAACCAGCTGTGTGTTATCGATCAAGTGTTCCTCAGATTATCTCGCCGGTGCCGTCTCCGATGATCATGCCGGATTTCGAGTCTGACAGCTCGTTTGATAAGTTCAAAAATGGTTGTTGCAGTATTATGTGATGTGTTTGATTGAGAGATTTTATGTGATCAACTACGGATTGGATATATGGGAATTGTTCAGCATGCTTAGCATATTAGTTCCTCCATGATTGTGGAAACTATTTTAAGTATTAAATATTAAATATTAATGTAGTAAAGTCGTATATTATTCTGATGTTAATGCGGCGTTATTGTTGTATTAAGTAATTAGTAACTAGTAATTAACATTATTTATTAATTACTAAATTAGTATGGGATAATATTCGTGATTAGTACATAATATAATTAAATTGCTGCCCGGGTCGAGCCCAACGGGCCAGCCCAAGCCCAATTTCAGTCTCCAAATTATTTCCAGCATATTTGGATCTCATATTGGACCACTCAAACATAAAAATTATGTCGTAATTAAGATTAGTATGAAATTTTGTCCAAATTAATTTATAATTGGACCAGTTTATCTATCTTGTATGGTGCTAATCTACAACATAAATATATATATATATATATATATGTATGTAATATATTATATGTAATATATTGGAGATCATGTCTTCCACAGATCTAAAGCTAAGTTGCATGGCACGTCCAATCCGTTGATTAACAAATTTTCCCATATAATAACAAATAGTTTATTTTTTTTATAAAAGTCTCAGTATTAAAAAAATTGTTAAAAAATAGTAATAACTCTAAATTAAAGAATAAAAAAATTAATTATTATTACTTATAAAATTCTTTTTATAATTTTAATGGAACACAAAAATTTTGATATGACGCAAGCAGGGTTTTGAATGGGAAACGCAAACATCACTTCGTGTAGCCCACTAGAGGTGTACAATTTGTTTAGTCAGTTCCGAAAGACATGCCGATAAATCAACTTGCTTTTTTCGTGTTGTATATATATATACACATACATATATATGTTTCGTGTGATAATAAACTATATAATATAAATTAAGATACGTATTTACAACAATAATTCATTCGGTAAATGTGGAATATGATGCGTACAAAATGGCCAGACAAAATATCAATGCGCAAATTAAACTAGTCCAATTTGATTCATGGAAGCCATAGAGTCTTAAGTTAATGGGAATATATATATAAGCGAATGAGTAAAATCAATTATTGGGATATTTTAGAAAAAGAATATATGATGTATAATTAATTTTTATAAATAGAAAATGGAAGTGATAATTGCGTTTCATTATGATAAGCCGTGAGCATACAAGAATGTGCCAAGTAGGGAGTGGGTGGCGCTAACTCCGAGCGTTTTTTTGGGGTGTATTTGGAGTTATATATATTGATATGGCTTATTGTAAGTAGTTCAGGAGTATACGGCATCAGTGTCCCATCCATGTATATAAAAACAAAACACGTACATACAGATTAACAGAGTCACGGAGGACTGATAGAGATACAGACGGTGATGCATATGTAAACACGCACACCAACCAATGCAATATGATGTCGGAGCAGAATCAAATTAGATTAATCATTCAAAATATATAAAGTTTTAATTTCCCATACGGGATTAATTATTACCTTAATTACTTCTCTAATCCTTATTCCTCTTTTTTAATATAAATAGAATTAAAGAAAAAAGCGTCTTTGATTATTGCTTTCTCGGCTAAAAAATGTTATTACTATCGTAATAGGATAGGGTAAAAGGGGCAAATAATTGAACTAAGACATTACAATAATTTAAGAGGGGAAGAAGAGTAACGCAACAAACTCATGGACGCTTCTTCCCCTATATAAAAATGGCATCATCCTTATTAATAATCTAAACGAGATGGTTATCTCTGTTTTTCATGGTTTCCATAAGATGGTTGTCTCTGCAATCATGGAGGTAACAACATATGGATCCATGTTTGATGCAGGCCTCCTGTCCTCAAAATAACCTTTCCCATTCTTCTGCGTGTCTCTCCCTACTCTAACTGAAGCTCCACGGTTCGCCACTCCCTGTTAATTATCAAACCAATTGGTCAATCAGATAACATCGTACCCAGAGTCTTTGGATCTTGTCTCTATGGTTTCTAATTTTAGCTGAACACAGAAGGTAAGAGTTGAGTTTTTGATTTTACCCATGAGAAAGTGTTGATGTCAGCAGTTTCATGTTTTCCAGTCAACCGGCGCTCGTTGCCATCGCCATAGGCGGAGATGTGTTCCTTGTGCCTTAACTTGAGCTTTTCGATGGCTTTTTTTATGACTTCATATCCACCATCATTCCTCATGGACTCCGTGCTGGAATTATACCACCATCATACTATGATTTGTCAACATTGAACTTTCAAAAGTGTATGAAAGGAGGAAAAGATGAGCAAAATGTCAAAATGATCATTTATTTTATTGTCAGTGACTGGTCTGGTCTGCTAATAGACCCAGATTTTAATCCAGAAAATGAAAGATAACATTGACCTTTTCAAATACTTGAAATAAATAATTTTACCTGTAATTTGTGTGAGCACCAGCTCCATTCCAGTCACCCTAGATACATAAAAAAAAGTCACAGATTTTTTTTTTTTTTGAGATAAATAAAAGAAGTCACAGATATCATAAAGGTTAACAAAATTCTATGCAGAAGGCAAAAAGATGAGAGTAAAGTCAATATTTTCTTACAATGAAGTGGGACAATGGAGAGAAAAATCAAACCTGAATCGGTTTAGGGTCAAAAGAAAGGACTACACCAGCTATCTCTGTAATCCTCTGTTAATAACAACAAAGTACCGTAAATACCACGCATCAATCTTTTTCCTATTAAGTTCACATCCCCATACACACACACACACAGATATATGGTTTCAATCACCTCAAGAATGTAACGAGCCACCCACAACTCATCACCGGCAGAAATGCCCACGGCAGGTCCAACTTGGAATTCCCACTATAGAAACCAACACACAAAAGTTACAACCTCTAACTAAAAGCTAAGCTGGGGAAACAAGTAAAGAAGCTAGCCAGGAAAATGGTCACCTGGCCAGGCATCACTTCTCCATTGATGCCGCTTATGTTAATACCAGCATAAAGACATGCTTTGTAATGGGAATCCACAATGTCACGACCAAAGGCCTTATCAGCACCAACCCCACAATAATATGGACCCTGTTTCATTCCATTACAATCCCATCAATTTTCTTTGTTGCCAAACACAGGTAAGATACTGGGATCAATTAATAAGAATTATATCACAAGCCGGAAAATTAAATAATATATAAATAAATAAATGAACAGAAGATTTACCTGAGGTCCAGGGTAGCCACCAAGTGGCCATCCAATGGGCCAGTTTACTTCCTTTTGCAACAAAGTGTACTCCTGTTCTATGCCGTACCTGTTTGTTTATATAATATTCATAAACTATTATAAAACTAAATAAACAAAATTAAAACAGAGATTATGTTCAAGAAAAATAAAATAAAATACCAGGGCTCTTCAGCCAAAACATCAGGGTGGCTAAAAATTTTGGCAGCATTGTGCCTCTTGTTTGTTGGGATTGGATCTCCTGCTGGGGTATAAGCATCACACATTACCTACAGAGAATTTATGAAGATCAGCATATTACTTAATGTTCAACTAAAAGTCAACTGGTACTAAGTTGACTGTGTTTAATGATCTGATCAACCTGATTACATATATACTCAATACTAATTAACTGTCGTGAAAGGGACTAACCAGAATATTGTTGCCTCTCCTGAAAGGATCCTTGAATATGGCTTGGGGGCTTGTTTGGGAAACCAAATAACAAAAACAAAAAACGGGAATATTAACTCCCCTAATAACAAAACAAATGCCGGAAAAGAAGACAGAGTGAGACAGAGACAGAAACAGAGCATACTATAAGATGACTTCACTGTCTTCTCCAGGAGCTTGGCCTGTGCTGGAACCGTCGTAGTTCCATTTTGGTAGCTTTGAAGGATCAGTCACTGGACCAGGAAGAGTCTAGTTTATGTAGAATAAAAAAATTAAAATCAGCGACCGACTAAAAAATAAACAGAATAACTAAAAAAAAAAAAAGAAATAATGAGAAAATCCATTACCCTGGCTTTGCTTCTAATGTCCATACCGGATCCACCAATCCTGCTCAGTAAACAAATAAACACAGGAATAGAAAAATCAACATAAGAAACAGGAAGAAGAAGGAGAAGAAGTATGAAATAAAACTAACAGAAAAACGAAAAACCAGTAGAAGAAAAAGTTTTCTGAGTAAGAATGAATGATATCACAGAGATATGTTGAGATCTGAAAGCACTCACCATATGTACTCTGCAATCATCTTCTCCGTTGTGTCGGAGAGGTTCAAGTTACGAAGATCTGAGAGCAGAGACATGTTTGGGAAGAAGGAAAATATGAAAAGAAAATCCAAGTGGGGGAGGGAAATTGAGTTGTTCTGTTTTATGTTGGGAAGAGAAGAGCGGCGTGAGTATGGAAGGAAACAGAAACCGGGCTCTTATAGAGTTGTGGTGCGCTTTGGGCGTTGGAAAAATATTTAAGCAAAATATAAAATAAAAATACTTGAAAAAATGATTTATTTTAAATTTTAAAAAAAAATGCATTGGAAATTATGAAAGGAATATTAATAATAAAAGAAAATTAAATTAAATATTAATTGATGGTTATTTTACCGGAGGTGGCGGTAGGTGATGACCGAAACGTGATGGTTGACCGCAACCGAACAACAGATTTTTTTTTTCTTAAATTTTTTATTTGTCAGAAAATAAATGGTACGGATATGTACATAAAAAAAAGATTATAATATAAAAAAAAATTTAAAACAAAAAAAGAAGAAGTGAATAATGGAAAAAAGTTATTATTAAATTATGACGTAAGCATTTCTTTTCATCTTTTTGGAAATAATAATAATAATAATAATTAGAGAAAATTATTGTTTCTTAATTAAATTAATTATTTAATAAATAATTTTAATATACATTTAAACAAAAATAATGTGATAATTTAAATAATAATTACTAACTTGAATTTTTTAAATATAAAGATATAATTTGATAATACCATTTGAAATTATTACTCATCTATTCACATCTTTATTATAATTTTTTTTTTAAAAATAGAATTTTTAGATGAGTTTTTGTGTGTATTATTTTGATATAAAAAATAATAAAAGCACTGTGATATTTTATTTGATTGAATTATTATATTTTTTTCAAAAAAATAAAAATTATAATATAAATATTAAAATTATATAAATCTAAGTCTAATTTAAGTCAATTTTTTTTTTAAATTTACATTATTATTTACTGTGAAATAAATGTGGATTAAAAGGATAAAATAGGCCCAAACGGAGAAGCTGAACCCATGGGCCATTCATCTCCGATCAAGGAAAAGCCCAGCCCAGTTGGCGATTTAACCGCCACGCGCAATTGGAGAGTAGTGACCACGCATAGCCATGGAAGCTTTGACCCATTTGACAGGAAACCCTTCTCCTTCCTTCGGCCCCAAGGCAGCCTTTCTACGCTACAACGTATTTATTGCTCCCGCCTTCTTCTTCTGAGCTCATCTGGTCGGTTCCTCTCTCTCTCTCACTAGGGAGACCTGGTAATAATTCTTGTAAATTTTATACTTGATATTTGGACCAGAAAATATTATAACCAACTTTATTATCCCCCACCTCTTTCTCTCTCTAACAAGGAGGAAAACCTATATAAAGCCTCAAAGCTCGATTACTAACATAACGGAAAACACTCGTTGCTTATTTCCTCCAGGTATTTCTTTCTGATCTCTATTGCTCTTTCTTTCTTTTTTTTTTTTCTTATCGTTGTACCAGTTTTTTCATTTGGGCGAAATCAAGGCTAAGAAGTTGATTTAGGGCTATGAGATTTTGGGATTTTTGCGAAATTATATCTTAAAACTGTTAATTTATTTGGTTTTGCGTAATCTGGCTTTCCAGTACTACCATTTCAATTCCAAATTTTAATTAGGTACTGGTTTTATTTACGGAATCTAATAGGGAATGAGTTTTTTCTTTTTGTATTCTGTATTTGCGGTCCTGATCGGCTTCCTAGTATAGATTTCTTAGTGCCTGTGTTTTTCTTTTTATGCAGATCAAGGAATTCAAGCTAGGGTTCCGTTTCTTTTCAATCGCATCTTTTGTGATTTAATTCATTTGGTTCATCGTTGTCGTGGAAAGGGTTTCTGTGTGTTCGGAATCACCGAATATGAGCTCTCAGGTCCGCAATGATCGAAGGGATAATAGGCCAAGAATCACTCCCCAGAGCACTCGCCAGGAGTGGGTTCCTAGAGGGACCACCGCGTCGGGGGTGAATCTTCCTCAGAGTGTCGATTCGCCCCCGAATCCAACTGGAAATGTTGGGAAGTCTAATAACACCTCCGCTGCACCGGAGAATCGGAACTGGAGGAATAATGCTTCCAAGAGTAACGTGAGTCGGCCAACAAATCATAGGAAGGGGAGAGAGACAAGTGAGAATAGAGAGGTCAGTGCATCGAATAGAGAGGTTGGTGCGTCAAAGGACCCAAGTTTGCCTCAGCTTGTGCAAGAAATTCAGGACAAGCTTCTTAAAGGAGCTGTCGAGTGTATGATCTGTTATGACATGGTGAGGAGGTCTGCACCTATCTGGTCTTGTGCAAGCTGTTACTCAATTTTCCACCTAAATTGTATCAAGAAATGGGCACGGGCACCCACATCTATTGATTTGTCTGCAGAGAAGAATCAGGGGTTTAATTGGCGGTGCCCGGGTTGTCAATCAGTGCAGTTAACGTCATCAAAGGAGATTCGATATATGTGCTTTTGTGGGAAGAGGACTGACCCACCCTCTGATTTGTATTTGACTCCGCATTCTTGTGGAGAACCTTGTGGGAAGCTACTTGAGAAGCTGTTTTCTGTTGGCGGTACTATAAAGGAGTATCTCTGTCCTCATGTTTGTGTGTTGCAGTGCCACCCAGGTCCATGCCCTCCTTGTAAGGCATTTGCACCACCTTGTTTGTGCCCTTGTGGGAAGAAGATAATTACAACAAGATGCTCAGATCGAAAGTCTGTTCTTACTTGTGGTCAGCGCTGTGATAAGCTTCTTGACTGTTGGCGTCATCGGTGTGAACAGGTATGTCATGTGGGTCCATGTGGTCCTTGCAAGGTTATGATTAATGCCTCTTGTTTCTGCAAGAAAAATATGGAGGTTTTTCTTTGTGGTAACATGACCATGAAGGGAGAAGTAAGAGCAGAAGATGGTGTTTTTTCATGCAGTTCAACTTGTGGAAAGCAGCTTGGTTGTGGGAATCATAACTGTTCCGAACCCTGTCATCCTGGTCCCTGTGGAGAGTGTGAGTTCTTGCCAAGCAAGATTAAGTCATGCTGCTGCGGAAAAACAAGCTTACAGGAACAAAGGCAGAGTTGCTTGGACCCAGTTCCTACATGTTCTCAGATTTGTGG